GGGCAGGGTGGCAGTGGCACGTGGCCCAGGAGACACCTTTGGGTGACTTTCCCCCCCTGATGTGGGTTTGCTGTGTTTTCAGCCCGAGCACCCATAGATAGGAGCGTTTGCTTTTGGCTCTGCAGGGACCAATGATGAGTGGTGCTGAGGGGGGGCAAAATACAACCCTCCCCTGCTCAAAGCCTTCCAGCAGTGAGCTGTTAATTAATTATACAGGAATACCCATTGAAAATGGAGAAACAAACTGTATCTTATAGCTGCATACAGCATGGGTAACATACACTTCGCAGAAGAACCTGCTGTGGCCTGGGGAGGGCAGGTGTCCATGCAGGAGATGTCCCTGGGCAGGCACAGCCTTGGGGATATGTGGACACAGCATGTCCTTGCATTTTCATAGTGGGGCAGAAAGGTGGGAGGCAGAGAGGTCGTGATGATTGTTTCGTGGTATAGCTACACTGTTTTCATCAACTCAGAAGATCCAGCAAGATGGAAAAGCTAAAATCCCAGCTCTCCAGCAAGGTAAAAAAAAAAAAAAAACCCAAACCCACAGCAGTTCAGCAGCTGCCCTGGAGATGCTCTGCTTGGGGTCAGTGGGGAAAACCCATACAAAGGCAGAGAGCTTTTTGAGAGTAGACAAAACTGCCCCCTCCCAGAAACTAGCACCAAGGGAGGGCTACTTTAATAGAAAACGAGTTCATATAAGAAAGGTCCAGGCCAGTTATAGTAATTTGTTGCAGACCATGCAAGACCCCAACTCTACTAACAACCAGCCTGACCGGTAGAAACCTTTCCCCGTACAACCTCACTCCTGTTTCAACTCCACTGTGTTTTCGTTTCTCTTTTTTTTTTTTTTCTTCTCCTGCTTACAGTTTGCTTCCTCAGGGCTTTTTACTATCTGGCTCCTTTGGTTTCTGATCTAGTGGCCTTTCTCAGTTCCTGTACCAACAGCTTTAGTCGTACACCCCTCCTGCCTTTGAGGTGAGCTCCCTGCACCCTTGGCCAAGCACCCACCATCTCCTCACCTGCTCCATTCACTGCCACCATCACCTACATCTGTCTCAGTCCTCAATGTCATCTGGCAAGAGGGACTAGTGGGGGGTTCTCCATCACCCACCAATATTCTGCACACATACACACCCCACCCCAGAAACAGAGCAGAGCACAAGGGGCAGCATCCTATACCCCATGGTGAGGCTTTACTCCCCAGGTCACAACGGTGAGCCAGGCTGAGGTGCATGTCATTAATTCTCTGTATTCAGCGTATCTAGTATCTGGAGAACTTCTTGAGATACAGGATGGGATTTTACTTCTCAGCCTCATTATCTAGACATTCAGTGCTCTGTGTAGAAGCTGTCTGTATCCAAGTTCTGCTTCAGTTTGGATGGGTGGTATAAATTGAGATGATGTACTTACTGGTACACTCGGTATTTAGTGCTGGAACACCCTGGTTTAGGGTTTTAACAACAGGCGTTTCCTTTCTCACTTTCTCAGAATCACAGAATTGCCTAGGTTGGAAGGGACCTTTAAGATGATCTAGTCCAACCATAAAACGCTTTAAAACCATAAAACTTCACACTATGTTGTCTGATTGCAGCAATACAGCAATGTCAATCCTGCTCCCACCAGCTCTCTGAGATCAAGCTCACTAGCACTGCAGGAAGATGTCTCCAACATACTGACCTAAAGTGTTACTACGCAGCAAAATAGTTTCTAAGGACCTAATGTCCCCCAAACAGAAGCCCAACCACAGAGGCAAAAAACAAGTCAGGTGATTTATGAATTTTGGGAACTATTTTGCAAAGCTGAATGTTTCTGATAAAATGGGATGAGATTCTCTACTTCAGCTGGACATAAATGGAGGCTTTAATCTTACACAATTTTGCTCTTGCACACTTCTAGTCTGCACTTTACCAAGGACCATCAACAAAGTTACAGTTTTCTGTAAGCACATGATCATGTAGGCTATAAAACACACCACAAGCAAAATCCTGCACACCTGAGCCTAGCACATAAGTAGCACAGGGGTGGATATGCACCTCACATCCATGCCGGATCTGACCCCCACTGGTATTTGTTATTGTCTGACTGGGGGCAAGAGGGGCATTACTGGGAGTAAGGAAGGAATATGGAGCAAACTTGGAAATGAAGAGAGCTGCTTCTCTGAAATGAGAGCTCAGCGTCTTCAGTGCAATAGTGACAGGGGCACCATTAGGAAAGAAAATGCTGCGATGCCAGCAGGGAGCTGGAGCCTGCATGGCCACAGCCACCAGCCTCCAAGGTTGCCTTGGGGAGCTCCTACTCTCATCTCATCCAAGGGAGCCCAGCCCCAGCTCAGGAAGAGGATAGATACATGCCTTTTGCACCTCCTTCAGCCTCAACCCCTCTGCAAAGTGCAGAAACTCCTGCCCGGCACACCCAGAGCACACCAGTACCATGTTGTCCACCTTTACGAGACCACTTTATCAGACAAGACTCGTACCACTGGTGTTTGTCCTCCCTCCATGTCCCTGGACACGCAGTGCCAAGGCAGGGACCACAGATCTGCCCCAGCCTTCTGTGTACATCTACCCCAAATCTCCACAGCCAGGCACTGTGCTCTCCGATTCATGCATCGGACAGACAGGGACCCAAATGCAGTGTACTCTCAGTAGGGCATCCCGTATTTTTATATATATGATATTTGTTGTATATATATAAATGTACATAAAAATCATACTCATCCCTTGTTATGTGGTTAACCAAGGACGCAGATCTGCCATGCTGGAGCCCAGGTACCTACCTCATGTACTAGAAGAGGTGCCTCCAAAATCCAAGTGCTATACATTTTCACATGGCAGCTTCACCTCTGGAAACCTGTTTCACCTTAATCCTGATGTTTACCTTAACCTCTTCAGCTGTCCCTCTGCCTTTCCCCTTTCCAGCCCTGCTCTAAAAAGATCCAAAGCTTCCCCAGTCCACGTAGCTCTGCACCCTCCTGCTCCCCCAGGGAAAGTCCCTATACTAAATTCATGTCCAGGCCATGCCTATCAATCCTTTTCCCTGCTGAAAATGCTGCAACAAGAGATTAGCCATCTTTCTAGCTTCCAGTACAAGTTGGCTGGTTTTATTCCACATGGAGGTACAGAGCAGCTGGGGCACCCGCTGGGTGATGGCAGCACCTTCCCTTCCATCTCAGTGCTGCCCTGATGGGCTGCCCTGCACGAGGTGCTGAGTGAAGAGCACTTCTACCACTACAGCTCATCCAGGGTATCCTCAGTCTCGCCAGACAGTGCCCTACTCAGGGACCAAATTGCTGGAGAACAGTTGATTTCTCCTGTGGGGCTAGTTTGTGTACACACATTTTCACTAAGCTACAGATTAAATAGGCAATTATAGCAGAAATAATGGATCTGAAGGTTTAAAATTTGTTGAACTGATAGCCAGGTTTTCAAGGAACACAGTAGCACATCATTAGTGGCAACAGAACCAACTAATTATTTTGTGTAGAGTAATTTCACTGTGCTGCAAAGATGGATGAAACTAGAGCTTTTCTGGTACATCTAAGAAACTGTAGTGCAGTTGTTCATGCCAAGCCGTCAGTCAGAGAGCTCCCACCGCTCTGCTGGCTCTAGGGAAGGAGCAGCTCTAAGGAAGGAGCGCAGTTCTCTCTGGTAAGTCTGGTGCAAAACCCACGGGGGTTTTGCCCACACCTGCCCCCAGCCCCTCTGCTCTTGGCAGCACTTTCCCCAAAGAAGCCCCACTCACAGTGGCTGTGCAGGCAGCTCTGTCCTCCCCGCCTGCCCCACATGGCGAGCACATAGACCTGCTCAGGACAGACATCCTTACTTCTTCTGGCGTTTGCTTTCAGATGCATTTGTTCTTTTTCATTTATTTCTGCCCCCAAAGGGGACACCTGCAAGATGGAGACAGCAGAGAAACGTAGTTTAGGGGTGTCACAGAGTCCCAAGCAGGCACAACGCTCCTCTGCGTGAGCACCCGAGCAATTTATCCCTCAGAATTTTGTGATTTAACTTTCCTTGGTCACTACAAAGCCTCACAGCAGCAAGGAAGGCTGAGCCTGCTGCCAGGTGGGGAGCTAGCCCTGTCCCCACTCTTACCATCCCTCCTCCATCTCATCGCAGCACGTGTCACACCCATTTCAGCCGCCTCCCTGCGCGAGCTCCCTTCGAGCATCAGCTGCCACTAACAACCCTGTCCTCTCCCTCTGCTGCAGGATGACATGCACAGGGTCATTGACCAGCAGCTGATGGACAAACACCCGAAGGAATGGAGCCAGCTTGCTTATTCCTTCTCCAGTGGCTACGGCGCAAAGCGGAGTGCCAGACCCTCCCCCGTGTTCAGGCCGGAGCAGCAGGGGGACGAGCCCGTTGGGGCAGAAGGGAACCGTCTCTTTTCCTTTTTCAAGAAAAATTAATTGGAAAAAGAGAAACCTCTCCAACAATTCCTGCTTCAAGAAGGGGAGTGGGGCAGCTGCCCAGCTTGCGGATGGACCCAACTCTGATCCACTAAGAAAAAAAAAGAAGGGGGCAAAGGAGTTAACACTTGAGACTCTGCACTATTTACACCGCACCTGGTCTGAACCAAATGTTTACATGAATTGGAGATTTGCAAATTGACAATGTGATACAATAGAAAGAAACTTTTCTTATTCTTTAAGTGAAGTGATAAACTTCAGGGTATATTTTAGGCGCTTTGACACAGTCCAGTTTCTGCTGTGAAGAATAATCTGATTGTCTTAAAAGCATTCTCATGCTGGAGAAGGAAATAAGCAGCCCCAAGACAAAGCAGCGCAGGGGACTGAGAACTGCCGTCACGGCGAGCACAGGGGGAAGAAGAGGCCTGAAGGCAAGAGAAGAGAGGGGAGTCACTTGTACCGCCCTCCGGTCCTGCCAGCTGTGATACCCTTCATCCATCCCACTGAGACTGGAGTCACTCCGGCCCCAGCATTGCCATGGTTTGACAAGTGTAGCTTTCTCCATGGTGGAAGTTGAGCCCTCACTGCAGATCCTGCCATCTCCCCCGCAGCTCTGCGTAGCCCTTCACGCCTCGCTGGGAATCCAGGCTCCTCGCAGATCAGGGCACTTGTGAGATTGCTGATGTTGCTGTCTTCTCTAGCTCCCTCCTGCTACACAGAGAAGAGTTGCAGTTGGTAGTTACACAGAATGTTAAAGATTTTTCCCCAAGAGACTGACCATCTACAACAGATTACAAACTAAATAAGAATTGTGGATGTTCAGTCCTGGGCAACCTACTGTCCCTCCAATGGCCAAAGGTAGTTGTGGAGCTTCAGCAAGTCACACACCTTTCCCCAAAGCCATGTACCCCTCCCAAACAGAGTAAGAAACCTGCCAAACCTGGCGGACTTGGCAGTGGTAGGTTAATGGTTGGACTTGATGATCTTAAAGCTCTTTTCCAACCTAAACAATTCTGCAATTTTAACTGGATAGGCTCCCAAAAGGCCTAATCAGTAATTCACTGACAGCCTACTTGTACTGAAGTCAGTAGGTGTTTGATGCTGGGTTGGCAGACTTGACCCTCAGAAAGCACGCAGGCATCTACCTTCACTAAAGCCAAAGGCAATTAGTGAGTCTACAAAGCTCTGGAAATTCTGCAGCTTCCCCTGCCCCACGCAGTAACATTAGCTATGGCCAGACGAAAATGCTGAGTATTTGTCCCTGCCTGTGGGTCATTTACTATCCAGCCCTTTGGCAAGGAGGTAGCCAAATTGCCTTCTGACTGAAGATGATCAGAGCCTGCTTTGCTGTAGGCATGACCTAATCAAGGAGAAGGAATGTAGCCTATTTGGTGCATGCACACAGCGGTGCTGGAAATCCTGCAATACTTAAATAGGGATCTTCCCTATGCAACGGGATGGGCACCTTACAGCTCTTCTCTTTAACACAGCCTACCATCCCAAACCAGCGAGGAACGCCAGCCTAAGTTCAGAGATACCCTGCTGCTGCCATGCAATTTTCATACATTCTCCCAGCTCACAATACCCCCAGGACCTGTTTTGTTTCCCCATTGCTTTTAAGAGGCTACCACCCACGCTGTCCCAGGGGAGCCGGAGCTAGGTACACAGTCAGCTCTGCCCCGCTCGGCAACTGAGGTGCTAAAACACCATCCTACAGGGAGCTGCTATCTCTGCTCACTATTTACAGCAACAAGCTTTCTGCTCCAATTAGGTATCAAATACTTTCTTCTAAGAAGCAGGTAAGAGGTAGGTGGGCTTGGGTTTTTTATTATTGTTATTCAACTTATCTATGGGATAGGACATCCATAATACCTCAGTACAAATACCCTTTCCGCCTACAAAGATGCGAGCGTTCCGATCTTTCCTTGTTAGCATGAAACTACCATGCTGGTACAAAATCATCTTGCACTGAGGTAGCTCCATGTTGCAAGGAGCAGAGTACTCCTTGGGATTGAAAACCATGGTAAAAAGCTTGAGTGGTAAAACCTATGTACTTGAGAGCAATGAAACCTGGATTGCAGACCCTGCTCCAGGAAATACTTAGGAAAAGCACCACCACTACAGCTTGCTGCTTCCAGGGGAAAGGAATCTGGAGTCTCACAGGCAGGGAAGGAGACTAAACCTTGGCCTCTCCTTTCTCAGCAATGCTCAGCTGTTGAGAATCTGCTTGTATCCACTTGTGCATGTGAGCAAAAGGGACTTAGTGCAGTGCCAAGCACGCTCCCAGGATGGCAAGTCCTCATCCTCCCATCTTACCTGTGTTGTGACTCTCAACAGGGCAGAGACGTGAGGCACACGCTCAGCATCCCCTGCTGTCAGGACTCAGTTATGCTCGTATCTCTTAACATAAACTTGAATACCTGCAAAATGAGGCGTGGGTTCACGGATGCCAGCGATACCTGTGAACAGTTGTCTTACACACAGTTTGAAAACGATGCTCTGCTTATTGTGGGAGAGTGGTGTGAACATCTTGGTCCTCGCTAACCTTTTTTTTTTCCTGCTGTCAGTTGTTATTTCCCAGGCCCCAACAGCTCTCTTCAAGCCACACGCCCAGCAGCTGTGTGGGACTCTGCCCCGCTGAGGATGTATGTATGTATGTTTGTTTGTATGTATGCAATCCTAAGGCAAGGGCCTTAAGTTATCCAAGGAAGACGCAGTAATGAGATGAAGAAAGGTGCCTTCTGCTACTTGTTTGCTGAGAGGAAAGTGACTCATCCAGTTGCAGGGGTAGGCAATTGAAATGCACAGCCCATCTCTTCATTTAAGGAGGAACCTACCTTAATCCCATTGCAATTTTATTTATTTATTAACAATGACGGAAGAGATTGCAAGAGGAAAGTCAGCATGTTCTTAAGGTGCCAGTTGGGTATGGTTTCTTAAAGCTAGCCCCTTAACCCTAAAGACTTAGTTGCACTACTAAACCCAGAAATACAAAAGAATTGGGTTTAATGAACTGGATGACACACCAAAGGAGACCTCCTTGTGCTGAGCTGCTACTCAACAGGAACAGAAACTGCCTTAACATAGCAGCTAGGTTTTGTTGTTTTGTTTTCAAAAACCTCATCAATGCAGCCCTTCACATTCTCATTTCCCACCTTGTGTTTTAACAAAGTCCTGACTATTTCACCTTGAGCTGTCATTCAAACACTCATCTCCATCCCGTCATGGCCAGGACCCTGGAACCATCCTTGCAGTGTCGGGTTAGAAGACATTCCACTTGTGACACTTGATACTTCTAGGACACACGTGGCATAAAGGAACCATCGGCTGCAGTGAATGTGATGGAGGAAGGACATTAATCCAGCAGGTACTCAGGATCCCAAAGTAGGTTTAAGGAGTGGGATCAGCAGCTCTAAATACAACACTCAGCCTTGCTTCCGAGATAACAGCAAATAAAATAGTAGTGCTGCACAGTCACTGTTCAAATATTGCACAGAGAAGAGACACCTGCTGAGATTAAGGCTACAAAGAACTTTCCCCCAGTGAAGTGAGAGGTGACTGTCTGGGCACCTGGTTATTACACCAGCCTAAGGGAAAAGGATCCACCTCCTGTTAGTAAACCCTGCAAGGGAAGCAACCCTAAACAAGAAAGCCTAAATGCAAGGCAAGTCACTAGCACTTTATCTTAATACACACTTAGATCAGCAACTTGCCATCGAGGTGAACAATTAATTAATCAATTAATGACAACAGAGTCGTTTTGCACAGAGAAGCAAGAAGTGAGGCTGCAGGCAGTGCTGCACGCACAAGGACTCCATGGCTGCATGCACTTGTCCTACTTAGAATGGTAAATTCCAGATATGCCTCTGCATCAGGCAAACTCTCTACTCCCCGCTCGGCTATAAAAAGCAAGATTGTTTTAACCAAAAAGCCAAGAAAGGAAGTGTCTGGGTGCTGCAGCAACGATTCCCTTAGATTGAGAGGGGAAAAGCACACAGCAGGGACAAGCAGAAAGAATGTATCTATAGATATGTACATATACCACAGTGCTGTAATTTTTGTATGTAGCAGTAATGTAAATAAATGTATGGTTTTTATAAGATACATATTATAAAAATCTATAAAGGCATATTTTTAGTAAAAACAATGCTCTACTTCTTTTGTAAATAGTTCTCTTCAGAATAAAACAGATCATTTATATGATAGCGTCTCAGCTCTTGAGTCACTGCTTATCTTACCTAGCTGTAGAACCAGCTCACTTTTGGAACTGTCATCTTAGCACCCAACAGCATCTTTGGTGCTTCATCATCCCAAGAAATTCAGCCACATGAAGCACTTGCACGTGCTTGGAAGAGAACGATCCTGGAGAAAGAACATTTGAAGTGTTTATACCTCCTGCTGCACAGGAAAACAGAAAGGCGAGCTTGTAAATCCTCTCCAACTTCCAGCCATTTGTATCATTTACTGGCCTTTGTATGGAAGGACCATCAAATGTTAACGAGTTTAGACATAAAACACAGATGGACAATGAAAAACCTCCAGCTTGTGCCAGTTGCAGTTCAGACCATCTACGTGTCCTCAGGATTCCCCTCTCCATAGCCATACCTGAACAGCACAGAGGGAAGCAAAGCCACCTGCTCACAGCCAGCTTCTGACACACTCTCCAGGAGCGAGGACTTGCCTCCAACAGCCCCAACGGCAGGGCTAAGGGGACACTAATGGCACCAAGCACAGCCATGGCTGTAGTTCCCATGCAGAAACTCGTACCATCACTGCCTGGGACAGCAAGGAGAGGCTCCAGATGCTTTTTAACCAGCCCAGGATCTGCCCCCTGCTGCTTTTGAGGAGAAGCTCACTCAACACTTCTTGAACAAAAAGGAAAAAAAAGATCATAGTAAAACCATGAGCATCTTACACACAGAAATAAGGTTACCAGTTCCAGCTTACTCTTTCTTTCACATTTAAAACCAGAATAGCAACTAAACACCTGAAAACATTAATTGTGGTTTTGCCAATACCCCCTCCCAGGGAAAAAGAGCCTCTCCGCACAGCAGAAGCGCTCACCCCTGCCTTGCCACCCTCCACCTCCAGATGCTGGACAGCAGAGGAAAACAGAGCTTCAAAAAAGATTTGGCAGCTTGTAACCTTTATTTTTAGTTTTTTAAAATTATTTAAAAAGCATAATTAGAAACTTTCATTACAGAAATAATCCTAGCAAACCAGTTAGACATTCCATTGCTCAACATTTAGGAAACTTCACATCAGCACCACTAGAGACACAGTCCCCACCCCTTCCAATTGAATAGTCAGTGGTGAGAGCAGAGAGGGAACTGCTCCTCTACAGCCACCTCTAGGAAAAAATAATAAAAAAAAAAAACCCAACCCACTTTAAGCCAGGAAGTTGGACGCCTGGATTGGCAGAGTTCAAACCATGGCCACAAAGACCTGGACTCAAAGAGGAGCAACCTTTCCATATAAGAGAACACTCCAGGCTTGGGTACACCATTTCCTCATTTTATTGCATCATTTCCAGTAAATTCAGACATTTTCTTTACCTCTGCCTGTACGGAGCTACTCCCTCTGCACACAAGAGCCCCAAGGTAACAGAGCTGGGCCCTTTCATCTGAAAGTGGTACCCATCACAGGCCAGCTTCATTTCAACAGGAAGGCTTTGAGGACTGACCCAGCTCCTTCCTTGTGCACACCCCACACTGGACCATCAGAAAGCAGACAGGATGGACTGGTGGGACTTAAGCTGCCGCTTACCACAGCTGCTCAAGTCTTACAATTATCAGAGCTCACACTAGCAATATCATCCCAGCTCAGTCTTATTCTTGGGTTACCAATGAAAGATATGTGAAGAAAAGAGATGGGTGAAGGCAGCTGGATACATACTCCCAGCACCTGAACTGATTAAAAAAAAAAAAAAAAAAAGAAAATGTGTTACACATTCATTGTTTGCAGTTTTTAAAAAGTCTTTAAAGTGATTGATTGTGATGTGATTGTATGATTAGGGCTTTTACCACAACCCGTAAAATCTAAAAAAAATGCAGGCAAAATAAGTGACTAAAATTTAGCCTCTCCTGGGGAAGGGGGAGGAAGGGAGAGAAGTGGGCTGATTCAAAGCTCACGGACATCAGTGAATCACATCCTACCAAACTAAGGCCAGCAATTCCATAGGGCCACTTACTGACAAACTGAGTACATCCACCTTCAAGGTCTTAAAGGAAGTCATACCCTCCATGCCTTTTAGTCATTTTAAGGAAAAATTCATTTTCTTAATTATTATTTCAGCAATTATTCAGGTGCTGAGCATGTACTTTCAGCCCAGACAGTTGATATTTTAGTTACACACATACACACACACTCTCCACCTTTAACTACATCTACTCAGGCTGATGAACCGAGCCCTGGTTTTCCCAGAAAAGCCACCAAGGGCCAGGAAAACGTTGCTGAGCACAGCGAGACCAGTTTGTTTCCAAGGGTGATCCTCCACCACCACATAACCCAAGCTTTCCGTTTCTTTACGTTAAACAGCAGTCCTCCTTTCTAACAGAAGAATCCTGGGAATGATCCTGCAGCAGCTTTCATAATCAGACATCAATCCAGAACAGCTGGATTTATTTTCATGCCTTATCTTTCTCAAAAACAGAAGCTTTGCCACCAAAATTCACATTCAAGTTCAGATCGCCTATTTGTGGACAGGGAAACGAGAAGAAGTTTGGTGTTTTTTTGGCAGAATCACATAGTTTTTGTTGTTCTCAAAAGAAATGGACCCTCACTTAGGACCCTGGCAGAACCAGAAGCAGAGGTCAAAGGAGTTAAACTTTGTTTTAAAAAAAAAAAAAAAAAAAGTTTTATCCAAATAAATCCCACTTCTGCAGGTCAGTTTGTTTTTCAGTATCTTGATACAAACTAAAGGAAAGCACAGGAACAGCTGGGCTGCAGCACAAGAAGGTGAAACCCAAGGATCCAGCCACAAATCTGGATCACGGCAAACTGAAATTCCAGGCCCCAGCAGCAGCACCGGCTGCCGGCCCAGGGGCTGGTGAAATGAACCCCCAGGCTCCAGCAGCAACACCTGCAATCCTGGTACCTAGAAAAACAAAGCCTGAGCCCCAGTAAAAGCCTGGAACTCCAGGTGAAGCCATAGGCCCCAGCGGCACCAGTTGCCAGCCTGGAGCCCAACAGAAATGAAGCCGGAGGCCCCAGGAAGCAGTTGCTGCTGGCCCGGGGCCAACTCGAATTAAGAACTTTGTACTATTTCTTTAAAAAGATGAACTCTGCAGTCCATGATTGGTTGACATTAAGAAGGCATAAGCCAAAGCGACAACAGGGAGGCGAGGCTGGTTAAAGCAATATACATTATATACAAACTCTTGGGTTAATTAGTCCACTTGGTAGGCAACGTCCTTTCTTGTCTACAAGGCGCACTGGAATGAGCAGGGGAGGAGAGGGGGGCAAGATTCCATCCGATACCTTCTTGGCACTGAAGTGGTAAGGTGCCAGCGCCTCTTGATAGAAAACATGGAGAAAAAAATAATCTTTAAATAACGGCACAAAACTGAGAAAGTCCTCCCAAAGCCTGCCCCAGTGGAATTGCCCGAGTCTAGCTGGAGGGGCTGATCTGTCTGAGAGCAGAGTCTCTGCAGCAGGGAAAGGGCATTAGCAGCACCGCTTCTTCCTTTTACTGTTCTTCGTTAGCTTCACCACATCATTCTGTTGCTGCTGTTGCTGCTTTGCTAAGTTTTCTTTCTTTGCTCGCAGAACTAGCTCTGTAATGCAATTAAACATCTGCAAGAGAAACAAGCAAGTTCAGACCACCCAGGAACTCAGACTAGTTTTTGTGGTTCTTTTGAAGCGACTCTACTTTTCTAGCTCTTTCAATAATGCTTCAGAGATTGTCCCAACCCACTAACGGGCCAAGCAGAAATCCAGTACCCTCCTGACCCACTCCCGAGCTAAATCAATAACCCTCTATCCCCTTTCCCAAACCAGTAAATAAAAGCAGGCCAGTTTGGCAACTGAAGCCAGGAGTGAAGACTGGGTAGTCCCAGCTCCTAGAAGCATCCTCCCTAGTGACAAGTCTTTCCTGAGAACATGCCTGATGCACTAGGACTGCACAGCTAGTGAAATTGCATCGTGGGCTCCTTCATTTCCCTTCCCCAACCCTTCCAAACACAGTTGGATGTCTCTTTTCAGCTTTTTACCTACTCACTTGCAACTGGTACACAGCATTTTATCTTTCTTCCTCAATGGGAAGAGCGTAACTTATTTTTTTTCCCCAAAGCATTATCTCCAAATTGTTTTATCTATATCTTTTGTGTATTATATTACCTCTTCCACATTAATATTTTCTTTGGCGCTGGTCTCAAACAATTGGATCTCCATCTGCCCAGCAAATTTATAGGCATCTTCTGTTTCTACCACTTTTCTCTCTGGGTCATCATTCTTATTCCCCACTAAAAAAGAAAAGGAAAAAAAAAGCCAGTTTGGTACTTCAGCAGGTCAGCCCACTAAAAAAGATGTTGTAACTGATTTGAAACTCACCTAGTATCCGGCAGACGTCATCACAATTTTGATTAATTTCATGCAACCACCGTTTTACATTCACAAAAGATTCTGCACTGGTTACATCATAGACAACAATGACCCCATGCGTTCCTCTGTAATACCTAGGGAGCAGGAAAGGACAATAAATGTTAACTCGAGCTATGTATCACCTCTTCAGCTCTTTCACTCAGCTTCTACAAGGTTCATAACGAATCCCCAGCTTATGGCAATCAAGTGCTCCCATTTTCTTACCACAGGGAGTCATTTAGTTCTTTTACAGCAGCTAAATCACATGCTGTTCCTCTAAACCTACAGAGTTGCCCGCTCATTTAGTCTACACAAGTAGGTTTCAAAGTCCAAAGACCGCTGTTTACTTCCTTGTGCAGGTTGTTGAGACCTTCAAAGATGAAAACTATCTTGCAGCCACATAAGCAAGAGGTGGTGGTGCCCCCAGTGTGTCCTCAGACCTGGCTGTGTGGTGAACTGTCACGTTGTACAAGCCACGTCGAGTTTCTGCAGCAACTTCGTTATCTGTGAAAGATCACTTACAGACTAAAATCTCAGCAGATCTCCAAATATATTCAACCCTCAGTCACAGTTCTCTTCAGCTCACAAAAATTTCTGTCTTGTTGAGCGACTGTGTGCTGATCACACCTTCCTACTCAACAGATCGACTCCATATGTGCATTCAATGAGCTCTGCTACCTTTAGCCATTAAAAATAAGCTTCATTTCAGTTTATTCCCATTAGTCTTGGGCAACAAGCACCTTTCAAAGATGATGAGCAATTCTGATATGCAAAAAAAAAAAATCTGAATTCAAGTCCCAACGTTATCACCTGCATGAACCCACTAAAGACAGGCCGTATGTGCACCTTGAGAATGCTATATATGAAAAAAACTAAGCTCCACCTTCTCAGTTCTCAGTCACATTCACAGGGCTACCAGGTATTTTCTCTAGTGCAAATTAGGCAACTGGGCGGGGATGGAAGGAGGAAAAGGAACTGGAACGTTGACAGTGAGGTCTTCACCAGCATCCAGGTTTTATACTTTGTGTAGCTTTATTATTTTCCTTTCATTTATTCTTCTTTCTTACGATCTACGTTAATATTTTTAATAAAACAATTTCAAGAATTCAGCATACCAAATCAAGGACCTTCTCTTAAATTGTGACAGCATTTCTAGAACTTGATCTCTTAACCACAAGCACCTCTTGCAGCGCTGTCCCTTTCACTGCACTTTAAATGTGTTCACTGTGACCACTCTGGATCTCTCTGATAATTTATTCCAACTCAGCCAGGACAC